CAGTGTTAAAGTCAGTCAAAAGGACGGGACTGCCCATCACAACAGTCAAGCAGTGGCCAGAGCACTTTGCAAGAAAACACCGCAAAGGACAGAGGCCAAGTGCCCTCCCTCAGAAGTGGGCAGTCACTAGCCCGACTGGAGGACACAAAGATGCGGCCGCCCCAAAGCCCAAGGCCAGGCCGGGAGCCTGGGACACAGGCTGGCTTCTGATCTCACAGAGCAGCCCAGCCTCCAGCCCATGTCCCCACCAGGCCGGGCCGTCACCGCGGCCTCCCAGAAGGCGCGGCGCGGGCCAAAAATGAGAGTCCTGCCTTGACCCCCAGATCCACTGCCCGACAACCCTCCTCAGCAGGCCAGGACGCCAGACCCCAGACTCACGAGAGCAGTGAAAACGTCCGCGGAAGGGGCGGCACCGCAGCGCTACAAGCGCGCAAGCGCGCGCCGCAAAAGCCCGCGAGGTCCCCCGCCCTCCGGGAGCAAGGGGCGTGGCCTCGCAACCCGTACCGGATTGGACAAGGCGTCAGGAAGGGGCCAGTAGAAGCCTGTGATTGGTGAGGACGAAGCGTCCCTCGGTTTGAAGGCCGAAGCCGCGCAGCCTGGGCTCGGCGCCGCCTGCTTAATAGGAGCCGCCTTCAAAGTCCTGAACAACTCAGTTTGAGGTCGCCCCAGGCACCTAGGAAAAATCCCGGCAAAAATATCCCCGCTGTTTTTGCCATATCGCCATTTAGTAGATGGCAGAAACTTCATGGTTTGCTTTCAACAAATCAATCCTTGGGATACACGTGTCTGGACAGCTAGTTAAATCGCCTAGGAAAAGCAATTACCAAGTAAGAAGACTTCTTCCTTAGCTGCCATTCTCCGTAGACTACACAAAACCCATCATTGCGTATGCTCACAAGCTCTTAACCTGAAAGATTCTATAATCTACCTTAAAATATCAAACATAGAATCTCAAAAGGGGTAGGGATTTGAGAAATAAATGCCGGGCAGAGGTGGCTCACGCCTTTAATTCCAGCCCTCAGGAAGCAGAGGCAGGCGGGTCTCTTGAATTCAAGGCCAACCTGGTCTACAAAGAGCTCCGGAATAGTTAGAGGTACACAGAGAAAAACAAAACAAAAAAAGGGAGAGTGATTAAACATAGAGACAGGAAATACAAAGTCAACAGTTGCTGTACCTGAGGTTAGCCAGGTGGGAAAAGACATTTACTTGATCATTTTCCTTTCTGTGTTCTCCAAGCTTCCTGGTGTTCACTCTTGGTTAACCCCCGCAGGGTTACTTTCTGGAACAATGCCTATTAATGGCGCACACCCACAATCCCTGTGTTTGGCTGGCTGAGGAAGTAGGATACCCTTCCCAAGGCCAAACAGCCTGTACCTCTGTGCATACTAAGATGCTGCTTTAAAAACGAAGAATATATTGGGCTGGAGAGATGGCTCAGCGGTTATAAGCACTGA